TTAGTCGCCCTGCAGCGCTTTGTCGGAGAGGTCGGCGTCGTCCGACCGGACGAGGTCAACCTCCCCCAGGTGCGCTGGCACGCCTAGACTGCGCGGAAAAGCCGCCGCATTTGCCCGTCGTTTGCACCCTGCGGCGAGGTAGACCACCCTCAGCAGCAGCTGCACCCTGCGCCCCTCCCCCTGAATTCTGGGGAGCGCCCCGCTTCTGCCCCACTTCTCTGACCTCTGGTCGACGGGGTCGCCCCCGGCTGGGGTGCATGGAGGCGACTCCCGCTCGTGGACATCGCTCGCGGGCGGCAGGGTGACCTTCCGAGGTGGGCGCCCACCCCAGGGGGGCGCGCTGCGCCCGCCCCATCGCCGCTGACCTCCTCGGCGAGCCGTCGCTCGTTCACCCCAGCGACGCGCCAGCACGGGCTCCGCCCCGAAGGGTCGCGCCGGGCCCCGCTGACGCACGCCCCGAGGAGGCTGCCCGCTTCGTTCCGCGGAGGGCGCGGGCTGCCCCCACGCGGCGAAGGCGCGGCTGCCTGGGGCCGACAGACCTGATTCTGCGGGCGGCGGCAGCGGGGGGCGCGGCACCCGTGGCCCTGCGCCGCCGTCGTCGTCGCCCAGGCGCCAGCGCCGTTCGCCGTCTGCCCAGCGGCATCGGCAGCGGGCGCTCACCCGTCGGGGCGCCTGGGATCGTCGGCGCCGCCGGGGGGCGGCCTACGAGGGGCCCCCCCGCGCCCCCCCCGCGAGCTGGCCACGCAGGCGAGAGCCAGCGAGGTCGCGACGAAGTGCCGCTCCTCGACCACCGAGTCGACCGCCGCCCCCCAGAGCGCCGCGCGGAACAGCACGCGCTCTTGTCGCCCCAGCTGCCAAGCCTTCTCGCGCAGCGAACGCTCGCGCTGCAATACCTGGTTCCAAGGCGGGCGCGCGGTCACGTCGCCGCGGGAGTTCCCTGCCACGAAATTCCAGACGCGCCCCCCTGGCACCTAGTCCAAGCACGCCTGGTAGTGCCGTGGGCCCCTGCCCTGCAGCTCATGCCCGTTCGCGCGGAGCTGCCCGAGCGTGATCACACCCGTGCCCAGCTGCACCACGCGCTTCCGTAGCGCTCGATGGCCCTGCGGGAGCTCGACCACGATGGGCGGCGCCGCCCAGAATTACATCGCCCCCGAGTTGGACCAAACCGGGGTCTGGCGGCCGGAGCCCTCGTCATTCTCGGCTGAGCAGACCAATGTCAGCGCCTACGCCCTGGCGCCCCCCGCTCGATCTCTGTCGGCCTGGTCTCGAGGTAGAACCTTGCCGGCAGCTGGACCTCCTCAATATTCAAGAATGCTTACTCGAAGTCCAGCCGCGTCGCCGGGAGATCGGTTACTCTCGAGTGTTCGATTCTCTGGACTGCGTCGGCCTGCCCCCCATGTTCGGCCGCTGCTCGATCCGCGCGCGCGCCGCCTGCCACGCGCACGCCAGCGCCGCCGCCTCGCGCGAGGCCCCATCCTGGCCTCCGCGCCCATCGCGAGCGAACCCCTAGCGAAGGCCCTGAAGTCGTCGCTCGATGATACGACATCGGCGACCCCACCCCCGCGCCCGCGATTCCGCGAGCGCACGGCGTCGACTGCGCGCACAGCAGAACGCCCTCCTTCATGCGGAGGAAATAAAAGGTCTGAGCCCGGCAGTTCGCGCGCACCCCCCTGCTCCCCCAACGCGAATGTCGGCGGAATGCCCAGACGCCCCTCCCACCGGGTCGCCCAAGCGACGCTGAGAGCCGACCGGCAGCGCGCCCGAGACCACGCGGGTCTCAGCCCAAGCCGTCTGAACTGAGCGGCCGCGAACCCAGCGACGGCCCCCCGGGTCCAGCAGAGCGACGGCGACGTGCACCGAGGCCCCGCGGCCTGGCGCGTCTGCAATTGGACCCCTCCCAAACACGATGGGATCCCCTCCAGCCAGGGCCCCCCTTCGCCCGGGGCGGACGGGGGCCCGCGGACGGGGCGGGCGACGTCGACGCGGGAGGGCGCTCACCAGTCGACCAGGTTTCGGGGCCGCCCCCTGGGCGAGCGAAAGACTTTCACCTGGCCGCGGCCCACCTCTGCCGAGAACGGACAGTCTCCCGTCACTCCAAGCACGGGCACGAGAGCTGCACCTGGCGTCTCGCCTGCGCACGGGCATGGATTGCGGCCTGCTCGTGTCTGAGCGGCTGGGGGGGGGGCCCGCCCCGATGGGTCGCGCGGTGCCCCATCCGCCGCTGGCACCGCCACGGCCGCCCCGTCAGGGGCGGGGGGGGGCCGGCGCGCCCGCGCCCCAGCGAATCGCGCGGAGCCCGCCGCCGCCGCGGCCTTCCTCGCGACGGCCCCCATCCGACCCGTCGGAGCTGTCGGAGCTCGACGAGCTGCCCGAATCGCCACCCTCGCTCTCGTCGGCTGCCTTCGTCATCTCGGCCGAAAAGACGCCCCAGCACATCTGGCAGACCACGTCATAATCATTCGCGCATGGCAACTCCTCGAAGTGCGTCGAGTTCAGCTGC